GGGGGGGGCATCACGTTAGGTGTATTTTCTAACACTGCCGCCAACAAGCACTTTGGGCTTCCGCTACGCGGACGCTTTAGACTCCGCTGCGCTGTAGCGTGTCATATACGATGATGTAATTGCCCAAAACAAATAAATAAATTTGTTGCAAGGCCGTACGCAGCCTTTATTGTACGTGTCTACATGTACTCTGGACTTTTGTTGTTCTCGTCTAATGTAGCCGCAAAATACAAAAAATCGTGTTACAGATTTAAAGTAATTGCTCGATTTGAAAATGTGGTTAACAAATTTCGGTTTTCAAAGCAACACACAATTGCAATATGAACTTGCACAATTGTCACTACTGTCGTACCCGATCCTCAGCAGACATCAAGCGCATGACAGCGAGTACAGTGTGTTCCAGCTAAAATCCACGATTGTAGAGTTCTTCAATAGTAGATTTTCATATCCAAGTTTTACATTTAATAATCACGCATTCATGCAATCGTATGTACCTCACGGTTCTACTATTGCTGCCCTGACAACCACCTCAAAGAATCTGGCCACATCCCGGCCGCGCTATTTTACAAAAACTTTTTTTTTCACCGTACTTTTACACGTAATAATAATGCTGTGGGTAAATCGAGAAGTTGGTTTTATCCCTAGTACATGAGAACCTAGTTCTGGTCGTAGTGGATGTACTCTCACTGTGTCAGCTGAGAGAGAGAGAGGAGCAGGCAACATTACTCAGTAGTAAAAATTGCACTAACACCTGATCAAACATACTACTGTACAAAATATTACCGTGCCCTGCACACATTATTATTCACATGCACCTCTGCAATCGCCCTAGTGGGTTGCGCGCTTTGAGTGCCGGTCATATCGTGTGGAAATGTAAATCAGACCAAAATTCAAATTACATGTCGTAATGAAAAATATTTATAATTTGCCTGGTAAGAACAAATTATTATAAAGTATACACCTTTATACAGCACGTGTGCATGGTCAATATGTTGCCTGATGCAAAGAGCACGTGTGTCCAGGTGCAGCTATCGCTAGTCCCTGGGACCGCGCGAGTCTACCAATCGTAGATCAGGCAAGCTTGAAGTAGAGCTTGCATACTAATAAAGTTACTGTGCCAGATTTTCAGTACACATGACAGCTTTCGTATAGCGCATGATAGTTCTATTTAAAGTCATGCAAGTGCGCAAAGCGTTTTCATCCAATCGGTATGTTTGGCTCCTGGACGAAACGTTTGTCTTTCGCCCAATCAGTAGGATCAAATCGGTCTTGATCGTGTTACCGATTAGAGTCAGTGTCCCAGGAATTTGCTCTTAGGTACGATTCCTTGCTCGAAAACATGGCCTTTACATTCCGATAGTTTAGCTTTATAGTTTAAAAGTCACAGAAGAGTAAATATCCACTAAAATATTGGTATTCAGCAGCGTGGTCGCCAAAGAAATTGCATTATGTTCGCCTACGGCAGGTAAGTACTTTAATTGTAAGGCATGTGGTTGATTGGAGGAATCCTCAGGAATGATTTTGGACCGATCATTTTTCGTCCAAAGGTGGCAATTCTGGTCGCTGCCTTACAATTCTGAGCTCACAATGGCCTTTTGAGCCGGAAATAGCTACCTTACCTTATCCCTATTTTCTAGTTCGGAGGCCTCAGCAAATCGGGTCCGATATACCGGATCTTGAACCATTCATTTTGCCAAAATGGATTGAAAAAAGAATACCAGTTATTATTAATAATAATTGCGAGACATTGTTTTTGCTGTCCCAGCTTACGCGAAGCCCTATTACCGAGTTTGATCTCCGGTGACGTACTATAAAGCTGACTTTACAAGTGTGTTCGGGCTGCTGTCCTTTGACCAACTCTGTCAGGACCTGTGACGTCGATTAGCGAACAACTGGGGAGGTTAGGTAACGATATATATATTTGTTGCGGTTTAGACGGCGCCTCTGAAAAACGAGCCCACGGAGGATGCCTCGGATAGGTAACCGATAATTAGAGGCACGCCCTTTTCGTTTTATCTTGCGGATGATATCTCAGCACCACTAGTCATTGTAGATCACAGAACACTCGTTGAGAACGCATACTCATCACCGTGAGCATGTACTACATCCCCTAGTACTGTTATAATGCAACCAAACGTTTTAGCGTATAAAGCGACCTGTGCTGAGGTACTCGTAATTCAGTGAGAGGCACTCGAAAGGGTATGTACATACAATGGTATAAGTACATATGCTTTTGCTTTTCTACATATCCGGCTTGTCCATGCCATCTGTTCGCAGTTCTGGATTAGGCGGGATGACTGTACCTATTTTATTAGATTCACTCATCCTACATATTTCAAGTAAAAGTGAGTCGTGGTGTAAGCATACTTGGAGTGTTTAGGTGAATCTGATTTTGGAACGGATTGGCTTCCATGTGGCCTTATCATCCAACAAAGTTTGACGAGCCTGTTTCTTGGTGTTGATAACTACAGAGCTGCACAGTCACAGCCCCCAGGGACTATGGGGTTATCACCCTGGGACATGGTCATATATAGAGACTGCGGAACCATGGACTTCAGCTGAAGTACTGATATGGCTCTGGATGGCGACTGGGTAAGTGGCTTACTCCGTAGTGAATTTGATGGTCAAGCGTTCGCGCATATGATTTACATCTGCTTCAGGTATGTGGGATGTGCGAATTGCAGTCGTCCCACATTTTCGGATCAGTTATTTCGGAGTAATATGAGTTTTGCCTTATGTAACTTGTATTACAACCGGTGGAGATACCTCTAATGTAAAAAAAGAAGAATAGCCAATGTGTTCACCTTCGAAAATAAAATAATGCAGTTATTATGCAATTCTGCGCCTGTGACACAGGTGCTACACCTCAAGAAGTTCGACATTACCTTCAATTACCCCCTTTATATTCCGAAAATCTAGATCATGTATTGCAAATATACTATTTACTTCGAAATATTCATTGATCTACCACAATAGGACTACACACAGGAAAGCCTGATCTGAGTTTTCGCAGCGTGATACAAGTTCTATCATAGAACCCTTGCAGCAAGAGTCTTGCTGACACATCCAAATCTGGGGACTACATGGATCAAAAACTCAACTGGACATACCAATTTCGGGAATCCCGAATCTCCCCATCTCCGTGTACCTAAATGAATCAGGGATTTGCAAATAGCCTCTACTTACAAAATTATAGTGATTAAATTTCATATGGCCATGGCAAATCGGAGATTTGAAGATGTCCTCCTCTTACATGTACTAAAATTCTTTAGTACCGGATTCCATGCATTTCCTGCAACCACGGAATTCGTGCAACCAGTGTAAAGCATCAAATCTCACAAATAGCCAATCGTATCGCTCTGAACTATATTTTGTGCAGCCATGTCCATATTATGTAATGTTTACATCTAAGATTAGCCAATGAAACACTGTTAATAATCCTCTGCACACTTTTTACGGCTGTAAATCTTATAGATTCACTAAAGACGAGTTCTTACATCGGTACTTTGAAGAATTACATGATGGGTCCATATGCTGCCTCCGTATTTTTGGTAGGTATTAATAGCGTAGCCACTGGATAAGTAGCACCGGTTATCTGCATCTGTCGTCACTTTCTGCAGTAAATGACTTTTACCTCATTCGGGAATTTGCGTCCGCTCCACCAACCGATTGAAGTGAAATGCGCGTGCTGCACCTCGTGCTGGGCATTGTGGTCGCCTTGCTTTCTATCAACCATGGTGTCACAATCGCTACCAAGACTGTGTTGCCGTCGAATTCAGACGACTACCCGGCACTCAGAGGCACCATTGCAAGTGACGACGTAGATTTTGAAGAAAGAAAAGGTGGAGTGGGAGGAGGTGGTGGTGGACGTGGAGGAGGTGGTGGAGGTCGCGGAGGAGGAGGAGGTGGTCGCGGAGGAGGAGGAGGTGGACGCGGAACCAGTTCGATTGCAAGAGGAAGAGCGTATCGGACAGGACATGGAGGAGGTGGAGATGATGCTATCCCTTTGCCGCCCGGTACTTACGTGGGTCCGGAATTCGGTGGTCCCCATGGTGAAGATTTCACAGACGCCACCATGGTTAAGTCTGGGCAAAAGGTGTTATCCATCAACCTCCGCGCATCCGAGCGCGTCGATGCTGTCATCCTCACCATCGTGAGTCCGTCGGGGGAAGAGAGTACCTTATACCACGGCGGTGATGGTGGTGAGCTGAAAAAGCCCCTAGCGTTAGCTGAAGGTGAATATATCACTGTCATGGAGGCACACGCGGGTAAACAAAAAGGACACACGCGCGTCAAGTACATCAAGTTCACCACCAATAAGGGGAATTTTATTGAAGGCGGAACACGGACGGACAAGATTGGAACGGACACTGCGAAGGAAGGCTACCAGTTGGGTGGTTTCGATGGCAGAGAAGGTGACGAGGTTGATCTGATCAGTGCCATTTGGACAAGCATTCAGCCTGTGGCTTAGTCATAAAGCGCACCAGTGTCTGCAGGGAACTTGGATTTGGAGCGCTTGTAGTAAAGTTCGTTAATCAAGGCGGTACGGCGTCTCCTAGATTAACATTACAGGTTTTATATTGAGAAGGAGTGTGGTTTGCCTCGCCTTTTTTCTTTTTCGAACTGCCCGAGTCGGGTGAAAGTCGTTAGTGCATAACATTTTGCAGCGTGCAAGCTTAAATGCCCTATTGTAAACATGCTCTTTCAAGGACCCCCATCACAGCTATAAAACAAGAATTGGTCACTCTGATGCCTGTGTGAGCCCAGGAAAGTTTCCTGAGGAACCTCAAACGTATTATGCATTTTAGACTTCAAAACAGTACACAAGCACCCCCACAATTAATCACCACACACTCGATTAATATGTGGCATTACAACGTTCTTTGCATTGAAATGGGATAGTTTCACTGCGTACCGGTGCCTTATAAAACGCTAAACACTTCAAAATCGCTCATCGGCGGTAGTGTGAAGAGAAGAGGGCTTGAAAAAACGTTTGCGAATTGAAATAACGAAGGTCTGCAATGGTCGGCGCATAGCTCGGAGGAGATACATGGACACGAAACAGGAGTTACTGTGGGGATTGTACCAGACGACTGCGACGCATGCTGACGCCGCCGACGGCGTGCAGACAACGTCCTACCTACATCTACGGACGCTGGAAGACCGCGTAAACACTGGACTACATATACAACTGCGTGTGCGCCGCATTATCAGCGGTTTTCTTCAACAAGCACCATTGGTTGGTGCTGCGGAGCTGGAGTGTGCTGCACGCTCCCTGTGAGGCAAGTAGAACGAGGAAATAGGACTGAGGAGCTATTTGTTTTAATGAACTCACTTCGCAACTTACTTTGAAGCCCGCAACGTCATAGTTACAGACGATCCCTTCAGCAGTAGCCACCAATGTATTCCTGTCTAAGGGTATTCCTATCCTGAATTTACCTTTAGTTTGGAACAATACACAGCCCCAGTAATTGAACGATTGGCTTATTTCATCGTCCCTCGCTGGAACACACCGGGCATCTAGACTACTACGATTGCGTCTACAATGATCCAGGCGAAGGTGACGCAATGCCCGCTGCGCTTGCGACGATGGTATCGCGCCTGCATGCTAAGGATCCAGTGTCCATGGACGAGCTTCTGAACCCGCCGGTTGAGAACACAACTGCAGAAGATCCCACAGATGAAGACTTTTGTGGAGTTGGCGACCAAGAATTGAATGTAGATGGCTCTGACAACGGCACAGAAAACCTGGACGAGGTCGATATAGAGCGTAGTACATAGCTTGAGTAGGACATCGATCCAGAAGCAATTAAAGAGCATCTCATGTGGATCGCTAAGCTTTTCGTTCGTGCAGGTGCGGCAGTATCGGGTAGATCGATGAGGGGTTGCGAGAATTGCAGCGCACGCTCCGCGAAAAAACTTGGAAAAAGCAAGGCCACAGGTACGAAAAGTCTTTGCTAGATTCCTTCGGATGTCCTGTGCAGTTATGACTGTTCCCATGGTTAAGAACCCCAGAATAGCTGTATTTGACTTCAAATGTTTCCATTTTACAACTGAGGGGTGAGAGGGAATAATATCTTGGGTTTGTAAACAACTGGTCAACAGGAGCCGCTAATTTATTGCTGTTGAGGGAGTATTCCAAGTCTAAGGATTACTACCGACGGGATAGTCTGTACAATCCATTCTCGGGGGTAAGGCGCATTGGTCTGAGTGTGGTCAAATTTGTAAAACTAATTGCGTAATACAGGCCATATTTTGTACCCAAATACAAAGCTCACACTACAAACGCATGTTGAAGCTCTGATGGTGCGAGCTCGCTGCTCAAAGTTACGTAGAATATGATTGCTAATGGAAGTCCTGATCGACTCGCAGTGTCATCCAAGGCCCTTCCAAGCAGATGCCTTGTTAGTTTGGTTATTTACGTAGTAAAATGTTTAATGCGAGTGCACAAAACTGCACGAAACCTTTTGTGCCCTTTCGTGCGATGCACAAAACAACCCTACTCGGCCCCGAGTCGGGGATCTTGTCGGTGACGAGCGAAGCGCAATACGCCGTGCAAACAACCCGTTCATTGGCAATATGGCCGGTATTTACCAGCCACAAAGGGTAAATACCGTTTTGGGCAGATTATACCACTGGTATTTACCAGTTTATGGCAAAAGTGGTAAAAACCCTGCCTGTACAGATTACGGAGCCGCATCCAACATTTTAGGCCATTGTTGCAATGTGTTCGATCAGCGATCAGGGTACCTGCTCAAGGTCAGCAAGTTGTGGGTAGCCCACACAATGAGGGCTGCGTGTTGCTCTGGCACTACTCCGCGGACCACGTGCTGTCCTGCAGAGCCCGGACTTTCAAGAGTGCGCTGCCTGAGAGAGCGACTCAAGGATGGAGAAGTTGGTGCTGTTTCCGTGAATGAATGAAATCCCAAGCCAGTGAGAGCGAAGGAGACTCTAGTTTTCGCTCCAGGTTCATCATGCTCGCTCTGGCTAAACTGCATATGCCAATGCACACGAGAAGAGAAGTGCATCTTGCGCTCCTCTGGCAGCCGAGAATTGGCCTTCCCGAGGTAAAGATTTAGCGCTACAGTGGTAAACGTCCGAATTACGCCGTTTTGAGTTTATACATTTATGGCAGTGGTAAAAACCCGGTAAATACCGCGGTAAATACCAGGGTGGTATTTACCAGCCGTAAAGTTTGGCCAACGCTATTCACTATAGACCCAAGGTCGGAGTGTGAGTAAAGTGGCGTGTCTCACCATGTCACCTGCAAGACGACGCATTGCAATCGTACAAACGATCCCAGAATACGGGCTTAGGATCCCAGAATACGGGCTTACCATACTGGAGAGTTTTTGTGCGCGATGGCACCCATGGCCGGGGCAGTGCCCCACAAGTTGAAGATCCACCCGTGTCCGACACAGAGGGAGTAAACTGTGAGGTCGAGGAGCTTTCAGTTGTGCCGGAACTCTCGGTCTCTGTCGACGAGGTCTTAGTCGAAGTCATCTCAGCACCTGAGCTCCCGGCCTCAGTCGAAATGGTACTAGTAGCAGCCGAAGGGTGTATCACTCTCCGTCCCGGTTCCTGATCCCTGCCTCTTCGGCGACGGGGTCTCAGTACTCCGCTGCCACTAAAAGCAGCGGCAGAAGTGCCACCGCTTCATGCCAGAAGCACGCGATGGTGGCCCTACCGCGTCTCATACATCTTAAGCATAGAATATCATGTTCTGGTATTTTATGCCTAAGGAGATACGAGACTGGGTAAATTTTGTCTAATTAATTATGAATTTGGCCGGTATGTGCTGAAGGTGTAAACGTGTGTCCCGTAAGTGTGTACGGTATCCATAATATGGATCCTTAATCATAATAATCCGTACGTGTATCCATATTTCCCATTATATGGTTGAATATGATCATTTTTCCGACATTACTAGAAGTTTGTATAAAGTGTAGCAGCCAATAGAATTAA